GGCTACTCTGTTCGGGCTTCATGAGGCAGGTACTATAGAGGCCTGAATAATAACCAATACTGTCCTGGAGCATTCGAGTTATAGTAAGTTTTACCCCAAAACCCTATTCTGATTATTAAGGCCCGCATAGTATCCTCCTTGTGACCGATAAGACCGATAAGAGTTGATCTTCATAAACTGCCACGCTGACAAAGGTTTACTTGGAGGGTCAGCTCCAAGTAGTTATTTTGTAGACGTATAAGTATCATAACCCCAATTAAGATCCCGTTTAGGGTACGTAAAACTCTACTTGTTGCCTACTTCCTAAGTCCCGTGACCCTCCAGTCAGAGTTCTTCCGCCTTGTAAAACCAGGTTTGCGTAGCATCCCATACCCAGTTCGTCATGCTTAGGATGCCTGCATTGCAGTGCACGGCAACGACTACTAACACGTCTGGGACTATCCATGCCATAAGTCAGGAACGACACAATCGTCTAGCTGACGAATTCATAAGCCCCCATGGCACAAAAGCTTAAACATTCAGTTCTATAGGGGTAATCTTCTTCCACAAAACGTCAAGCCGAAACGCAGCCAGGTGCCTTAGACTTAGCCCTCAGTACCCCCGAACGGCTATACTGCGATACACAGCTTCGTGAAGATCCTTCCCGAGACACTTGACCCTTATTGATGCCTTGTAGATTCCTTTTCGTATTCCTTGAAAGTCGCCTAAAACTCCTCGCTTTCACTTGCAGTGCCTTCTTCTTGAGGGCTCGCAGAGGCCTCGACAGGCTCAGAAGACGAAACTCTGGCTGGCACTCTTGGGGTAAAGGGTCAAGTGTACTACCACCATACAGCAACAGTCTATAATCAGGCCTTTATTACCCAGACCCCCGCAAGGATCCAAAAAGTGGATCCCTTAATGGGGGTTCCAGAAAAGGTACCCTTAGTAGTATAGGGCCCCAAATTTTGGGGATCTACTTTCTAGATCCTCCCGGGGGTCTGGGTAAGGGCCTTATTATATCAAGACTATCAAAACTGTTTCTGAGTGGGGGCAGTATCCAAGGAAAAGGGTCGAAGCTAGGGCTTTCGCTGTAGCTTGACCAAGGAGAACTAGACTGAACTTGGACCCCTAGCAAACACTAGAATTTTAGCAACGAGATTATTAGAACCAAAGGTTACCCCAGTTACCCCTAAGAGAAAGCAACGACCTCGAACGCGCTACACTTCTTCAACCACAGAACCTGGAGCCCAACACCCTTTATCAAGAAAAATTGCTTAAAATCTGACATGAAGACCCTTGTAATTTACAGTATGCTACTGGTTTAAGGGGTATGTGACTCTCGGGGAACTTAGGCCTTGCAGTGTCCCGCTCAATCTCCGGATGCTCATCATACTAGCATTGCCATAGTCACTGCAGCTGCTGCTGCTGCTGCTTGGGTCCATCACTGCCGTTGCGGAGTTCATAGCAGCGCCAAGATAAACGGCAGTTTGCATGAATCTGACTTTCTTCGGATTCTGCGGCGCTGCAGGACAACAAGCAATGCTGCTGCGAGGTCATATATGCAGAACATGATGGGCATTGCAGTGTTGCACAAGCGCAATGTCGTGTGGGCAGTAGGTTTTCATGCAATCTGCTAGAACCATGAAGTGTTGGGTGCTATTATATCCGCTCTTATCAGTTGTTGAACTAGTAGCCGCAGCAGTACATGCAATTTTGAGTATCAGAAAATCAAGGCAACCGATCACGACTGAACCTAGTACCGTTGCTGCTGCTGCATTGCTCCCGTCCTCGTCCTCTGCTGCAGCTGCAACTGCTACTTGTTTCAATGCTTCACCATACAATTATTTGTCATTTCTGTTGTTCATGCATAAGGTCGTCATGCACGACTCTCACAACTCACAGCATCACCACACGGCCTCCGGGAGCTTGCGCATCCGCTCCTGGAATTCAGGGGCTTCAGTGGAGTCCATCCTCTTTCCCATGGTTCCGTTCTGAATGCTGTCATGACTACAGATTCAAAGCTCCTAGATGGACAATTGCCCATCGGGCCTTGCATGGAGCCAGGGATTGTTCTGTGCTGTGTGCGAGGTTACGTAAGTCTGTGCTCCTCTGTTCTTTCATCTTCTTGCAATGGACACCTTGTTCTCTGTGTTACTTGTCATGTCGAGGGAGTCTTGTACATGCCAGTATAAGCAGATGCATCAGGCTTGATGCTCCTGGAAGCGTCCAAGTTCCGAGGTCCATGCCAACAGAGTTCATGATAATCACTATTACAACATGTACACATCCGAACGGTCTTCGTCGTATTTCTCAACAGAGCGGCACAATGCAGGTGACACTCACACACGCACACGTCCATGTTACTTTCGGGACAAGCTCAAGCTGTAGCTTCGGATCCTTTCCTCACAGCATCGTGCAGAAAACTGTGCACGAGAAGCTGGACGCTCTCGTGGTGACCCCAACTATCATCTTGCAGCAGAGACGGATTTATGGATCACGGCTCGGCTCGTCTCTACTGTTTATCCAGCTTCTTGATATGAACCCTTAAACCTTAAGCCCCAAAGCCCTAAACCCCAAACCCCTCGGCTCCATAGTAGCCTTATAGGAATCCGAAAAAACCTGCCCGAAGCACAGCAGTGGCGGTCCTCGCGCTTCCTGCGCCTTTCCTCGAGTCGCCTTTCCTGCTCCTTGATTTCTGGGCTTTGAAGTAACCAGGGAGAAAAAAACATGTACTTTGTATTTCCTAATGGTTCCTTTCTGGAACCGCCCCAACAGCATGAAGGTTTGGTGCCTCAGAACCCAAGAGTTGAGGCTGGAGGAGATCGAGGCCCAGAGAACCCTTAAGGAATCTAGGGGATACTACAAGGAATCTATAAGGGATCCTATAAGGGATCTAGAAGGGTTCCTTTAAGGGGATCTATAAGGGTTCTACGAGGGCTTAGGGTTTGGGGTTCTAACGGTTTAGGGGTTTCGGGTTTAACGGTTTAGGGTTATTAAGGAAGATACCTTCAGGCAGAGGGTTATTCAGGAATATACCTTCAGGCAGAAGCCAGAAAGTTGGAACATCAGTATCCTCATGCCCTTAAAGTAAAGCATGGGGAATCCCAGCATGAATCAGCCCCAAACCATGTTCCGACTTTCTGGGGTTCACTATGCTGCAAACCATAAACTTTTCAACCTCCTTATAATTATGCCTTCATTGAGGGGTATTGGGCTCTCTGGTTCTTTTAAGAGTGCTAGAAGCGCACGATCCTTGATGAACCCTCGGAGATTTCGGAGTTTGGGGCTTGGGTGCTGTAAGTTTAGGGTTTAGGGTACTATCGAGTTTCTCGTAAGGGCAGCATAAGTGAATCAACCCGGTTTTGCAGAGTAGCAGAAATGGACTCTATGAGTTTCGGGTTTGGTCGTACAGCCCTCGGGAGTGGAGGCCGGTTCTTGGAGACCTTGGCGGGAGACTCCAAGCCACGTGTGATCTAGGGGTGGAAATAAATAAGTACCGACACTTTTGTGGGGGTTCCTCATTAAAACTAGAAAACAAAGGAGCACCCAAACCCTATTCCAAGTATTAAGGCCCCTACATTGCAGTTGCGTTGCTGTCTCAGGCTCTATCCAATGATCAAACGAACGGACTCTGGCAGATTGTGCTGCGGTGTCGCCCGTCTTAATCTAACCTCCAAAAGTCTGGGTTTAGGGTCTATGATTGCAAGAAATTCACGGCGAAGTTGCAGTTTGTACCGCGCTTAGAATATAGCGTCAAGTTATCAAAACCTCCACACTTTGAGCACCCAAGACCGAAGCATGCAGTGCCTCGAAAACGGGCAGCGGCATTGAGAGCAAGTCCTCAAAAGACTCAACAACTGGGTCGAAGGCAAAGGGTCTGAATAGTCCTTCCACTGACCCTTGCTCTCTTCAGGACTGAATATCGTGTAGCAAGGACTAAAGTACTCTAATAGTCATTGGTGTACGACAATTGACTGGAGCAGACCAACATGATCCGTGTACTCGAGTGCAGCGCAAAAAACAAGAACAAATGTGTACTGCAGTGCAGAGAACTCGATCATAGTGTGCAGCAAAATAGAAAGCACTACTCTACTACTACTACTACTACTACTACTACTACTACTACTACTACTACTACTACTACTACTACTACTACTATTGTTACTGCTACTGCTACTGCTACTGCTACTGCTACTGCTACTGCTACTGCTACTGCTACTGCTACTGCTACTACTACTACTACTACTACTACTACTACTACGACTACTACCACTATTGGCCCTGCTGCTGCTACTACTACTGCTACTGCTACTGCTACTGCTCCTGCTCCTGCTCGTGCTGCTGTTGCTACTGCTCCTGCTCCTGCTCCTGCTCCTGCTCCTGCTCCTGCTCCTGCTCCTGCTCCTGCTCCTGCTCCTGCTCCTGCTGCTCCTGCTCCTGCTGCTCCTGCTGCTCCTGCTCCTGCTGCTCCTGGACTGCTGCTCCTGGACTGCTGCTCCTGGACTGCTGCTCCTGGACTGCTGCTCCTGCTACTGCTGCTCCTGCTCCTGCTCCTGCTCCTGCTCCTGCTCCTGCTCCTGCTCCTGCTCCTGCTCCTGCTCCTGCTCCTGCTACTGCTACTGCTACTGCTACTGCTACTGCTACTGCTGCTGCTTCTAAGCTCCTTGGCTCCACAGAGTAGAGATGTTGAGATCTTCGAAACAGCGGGACCCTTCCACCCTTAACAGTAACGGGTGCACTAGAAGGTCTGAGTGCCTCAACCTCAACATGGCTGTAGGCTGCATGATGGCTGTGCTTCTTGCCTGTTTGACTCCATCTGCCCTACCTTGGCAACAGGGCTCAAATTTTGTGCCACAGTGTCCCAATTGGACAGCATCCAGCCCGTGTGATTGGCCCAGCACTCAGCATCCGAAGTCTCTTTTACTCTTGTGGCAAGCTGCTAGGTGCACTCAAGGGCAGCTTTTTCCGAGCGCCGCCTTCTGTGCTCAAGCCTTGCAGTCGCATAGCCCGACCAGCCCAGGATGTCACCCAAGGAAGTACGGCGAGGCAACCCGTCGAGGTCGCGATCTGGAAGGCCAAAAGCCAAAGCAACAGCGGCTCCGGAGTCCTCTTCATCTGATAGCCCACCGAGCCCACCGAGCTCAGGCGAGGAGGCCACCGCCCCACCAGTTGCTACCACAAGTGCTCCAGCAGGGCCACCTCCCCCAGTGCCGGTCAACAGGCCAAGAGGCAGCGTTGGATGTGTCACAAGCAAGCCCGCGGGGCCGCCCCCGCCGAATCCGGCATCCTGCACGTCTCTTCCGACAACACCGGTGCAGGCCTATGCTGCCATGGCTCCAGGGGGCTTACCAGCAGGTGCTCCACCAAGCACAGGGCCTATCACTCCTGCAACGGGGGCTGTTCCCACGTTCCCATCGCCTACTACGACCTTGCTGCCTCCTACGACCGCACCTCCAGCACCGAGTGTCAATGCAGCGATGGGAGTTTCGGGCATACCAGCTGGACACGTGCAGCAGCAGCCTGCCACCATCACGACCAAAGTGGCGGGCTGGACTTTCACGCTCACGGTTAGGCCACCGAGCTGAGCCACAAGACACCATGCCTTATGGTGGTCAGGCACGACCTTTCTGCAGAGCTAGCACCACAGGTGCAAGTGACAGCTGTCAGTTCTCTGCCGTCTCTTCCTGTATGAAGACTTGTCGTTTTGTGCCCAGCAGCCTCTCGGGTCGGACTCACAAAAGCCGTGCTGTCTTTATCAGTGTGCCAGTACTGACACCTCTTCGGAGCCAACTGCCACTGCTACATTGGACTATCCCCCATGCTGACTGTACTGCCCAGGCCGTCCTCATGGCAGACTTCGACGACCTCGCGAAGGCTCCAGGTCAGCGGCGCCCCTCATCTGCACTCGGCGCACCCCTGCCTAGCGATGCTCGCCACAGGTATCAGGTCTCTCGAGACGCCCACTCCGGTGTTCCTCTTGCCCACCACCGGGTTTGGATCTCAGACTTGCTGCTGCATCCCGTGATCAGCCAACATGAGACTCTGCAGCACTCTTGTATGCACCTTGCAGCCCCACCATGTGGTCACCGCGTGTGCCTACAGCTTTCCTCATACCAAGCCTCATTGAAGACCCTGGAAGAGTATGTGGTGCCCCAGCAACCTGCCACTACTTCTGCCCGTCTTGTATCCCTTAGGGCTGGGAGACTTCTTGCAGACTACTCGCAGGTACCTTCTCCTCAACTTCTTAAGTCGATGGACTACCCTGTGTTAAAGTGCCCTACCTGTGCCTCTCGAGGGATCATGGAGCCAGCCTCTGAGCATAGCTGGCCACACTGGCAGGCAGCACTTGTCCCGCTTACAGTGGGGACCGAAGTAGAGGTGATCGACGGCCACAGACGGCACCTTGTCGGCCGCCGAGCGATTGTGCTCCCTACCTTGGAGTGCGATCGCAACACCACGCGGAATGTGCGGATGATACAAGGCCCTCGAGATGAACAACGACGTATTTTTACGATCGACAGGGAGCACCTTGTTCCCCGCCTGGGGTCGGAAGCCACACAAGCTTCCATGTGTGATGGAATGGAGCCGAGTCTGAGGTGGAGATGTGCACCCCCACCATTAACCATCTTCAGCGCACGCTACCTTCTCGGCTACCAGGCCCTGGAGACCATGGTGCCCCCGGCGGCACCCAAACGGAGTCCAGCTGGCCACTATATCCATCCCCCGCTGGAAGATGCTTCGCTTGAGGCACCCTGGGAAAAACACGTTGACCCAGCTAGCGATCGGCACTTCTACTACCACCCGGGGACAAAGCAGGTGACTTGGCGAAAACCACGGCCTGCCCTGGTCCTTCCGAGGGAAGAGGAGATTGGGCCCACCAAGCCCAGGCGAGGCCGGTCTGGGATACCACAGCCTCGCACTCCTAGTCCACCTCCTCCCAAGCGGGTGAGAATGCATCCCACCACTGATGCTCAGCAGAGAACTACGAGCTCTGAGGCCCAGTCGTCAGCTTCTACCGCAGCCAAAGGGGCACCAACTACAGAGAGGAAGCCCGCTCCGGACTTTGATCCTCAATCCTCTGGTGGCCCTTCTGAGTGGAACCTGGCCGATCATGCTTTACCTGCCTCCCCAGACCGGGTACTACTCTGGGGAGCCAAAGCCAGGTCACAGCTACCACAACCGCCCAGTGCTCCTGCCTGTACTCTGGACGTGGAAAGATTTCTGCAGAGCTTCTTCAGGACACGGCAAGGCCCAGATGGCACATCCCTTGCCACCTTACTTGGTGACCCAGCCCCGCAACCTGATGGTTGGTGGCGTATCCCGTGGACACCGCTGGGACCATCGCACTGCGAGCTGCTGTGTCAGGATGGTTGGCTACGTGGCTGGCACGGATGCAAGATGGAGGCACTATACTCCATCATTTACCATGGACAGCTTCTACCGAGCACCGATGAGTCGAAGGGGGACAGGTTCCTGGCAGGCTGTCCAGGGGTGTATTTGCATCGAGACAGCCTGCAACACAAGGTGGAGAACTACATGAGATGGATACCACTATGTGGAGACGGTCTCTTTTGGGCTGCCAAGTGGGAGGTGGTGTATGCTCCCTCGGGGAGCAAGAAGCATGGCAAGCGCACTGATCAGGTTATACAAAGTGCTGAATCGGTGGAGCTGGTGGCCCTCTGGCTCTCAGTGCGCTCCGAGAACATGCTGCCTGACGGAACTGCTGTGCAGGCCAAATGGACTCCAGCACGTGAGGCCAACCCACGCCTCACTCAGTTCAAGCGAAGAAGCAGTGCTCTGTTACAGACTATGGACCTCACGGAACCGTCTGCCTCCTCCAGGCCTCTGCCCAGCTCCAGCCTGAGGTCTGACCCGGTGATTGACAACAAAGGCCGACTCAAGCCGACGCCTAAAGCACGCGGTCGCTTGTCCCACATCCCTTCTGAACTGGAGAAGGACCGAACGCCAGCACAAGCGAAGCTCACCATACAGTCGGGCAATCTGGTGCTTAAGTCGGCCACGGCAAATAGCTCGGAGACTACGACTGCTCCGACCACCGTTTCGGCTGCTACCTCGGCCGTCCCGTCAGATCTACCTCAACGAGGACCCAAACGGGCTCGACCTGACGCTTCCTCTCCGAAACCACGGAAGATGCAGACAAGGCCCAAGCCGAGACGATCGATTTGGTTTGATGTCACGGACAATCCGGCTGACCAACCACTTTCGACCTCCTCAGCTGCAGCCAAAGGCCGCGGCACTGGGACGATCAAGGCCGCCAAGCTCCAAGATCGTGTCCGCAGAAGGATGGCCAGGAAGATGGAGGAAATCTTCCAGGCCAATAGAGCCGCTGGACTTCACACGGACTCAGCTGCCTCATCCAGTGCTGCATACAAGGATCCAGCTTACTGCTCATCATGTCCACGTCTGCATCAGCTTGGCCAGTCTTGCAAGAGGCAACACATGCCCCCTTCACTTCGACCTGCCATGCTCTTTGTCTTCGCTCTTCTAAGGTCTAGCCCACCGGCGGCTCTGCCAGACCAAGATGACACAGGCGGGGATCGATTTACTGAGCGCTCGGAGTTGCAGACCTCTGCACCTAGGTTCGGGCAGCCACCTCGGTGGGTTCCCTGCTCACAGACCTTTGTTGCTCCCTCCACCAGCCACTGCCTGCAACATCTGTGGCTATCAGGCTCGTATCTGCCGACATGTCGGATGCTCGACGGCAAGCCCGGATCCTTGCAGGTCCCTTCGTTAGTCTACTGGGACTTTGAAAGGCACCTGAGCTCTTTCCCATGTGCCTATCCAGGCCTTGAACGCCCCGTGTGCACATCCACCACAATGCCGGTCGGGCTCACATGGACCTACGGTGCCTCCTCACACCGTGCTGATTATCGATGTGCTGTGCCTCGAGGTATGCCAGCTGCACTGGCAACAGGTCCTACTTTGTTGCATGCTCACTGCACACGTGATGTTCGCTCAAGACATCACACCTGGCAGGGGTGGCCGGACGCTTTCCTGACTGACCGACCTGAACATTGTCTGGTGTGCCTTCGACACACCAGACCATCTGCTGCTGGTCCTGCTTCAGTTCGATGCCCACCTCCACCACCAGGAGCTGGTTTGCAACCCGACGGGCTCTCAGGTCTTGAGACTGTCACTCCCAGGCGGATGATAGCTCCATCTAGCGGTTCCCCTAGCTTGCCTCCAGGTCTGTCTTCGCCACTGGGCGCAGGCCAGCGGGTCGAGCAGGCATCACTTCGGGACTCCTACCTGTCCAATCTGTGCAGGATATCCCGGGCACGTGGCTGGCCTATCGTCTGGCGGACCCATGCTGTGAGTGGTGTCGGCTTGAGTACCGTAGATGTACCCCCTATGCCACCCGTATGCAACAAACTAGCACCTCGCAGGCTAACAAAATCAGATCCCGCGAGCCTGATTCTGCCGTGCAGTTGCAACACAAAGTCTCCCCCCCGGCACTGGACCTGCACACTATGGATTAGCTGCGTAGACAGTCTGCTGCACCGCACTTCGAAGTCGATGCCAGCATTTTTGACAACATGGACAACTAGCACTCTAAGGTGCCCCTCTCATATTCTCAACATACCAGCTCTGAGCCACTCCGGTCCCAATTCCGGAGACCGACCTTTTCGTACGGCTGACAACCTGTCATCTTTCAGACACCAGCTGGTTGTCCATCTAGCCTCTGAACAGTCGGTAGGAGCGAGGGTTGTGAGCGGCTGCCACCCGCTCACGAGACCGAAACTCACCTTTGTGGTGAGGGACGGGAAGCCGTGGCAGGAGCCCAATGAACTACACTCTGCTGTGAGGGCAGTCTTGCGAGACCCCCCACCATACCACACTATACACTCTAACCCAGAGGTCATTCTAGGCACCGCCTGTTCCCCTAGCCTGACCTCCTCCTCGTTCTTAGTCATCTGTTCATCGTGGGTTGGTTCGAGCGACCCGACTGCAGGCCCCTGTGGCATGCCACATAACATGGACAAGCTGCTGCCAGGATATACTCCACCGCAGCCAAAGCCCCGGTACTTCTTCCTCTACAAACAGGGTCTCCCTGTTCGTCTTGTTGCCATCTGGGCTCCAGCACTTCCACATCTTACCTCTCCTGGTCTTCCTCGTTCTAGGAGGCCTCTCCCTGGAGTACAAATACCAACATCTGCCACTCGACCTATCCACACCGCTGACAGGTATTGCCCTCCGTCGACTACGAATCGATCCAGTCAGACCCCTGGCACGACGACGTACCCTAGGCTATGCCCTCGTCCTATCCTGTTCCTCTCGACTCTGTTAGCCCTCCCAAGGTCGATCTGGGGAGTGCCTTCTGCACACCCCCTGCACACTACAGTAGCGAGTCGCTCAGGACCCCTCAGTCAGGCTACCGTCAATCCCAATGAGTACACATTTGCCAGGAAGCGATCCTACAAACGTGCCTTACGTCGTGCTGCACAGGACCAGGCCCAGCATACGATTTATCGAGGTCGCGTCTGTACCCTGCAACAGCTTTGCAAAGGCTATCGGGGCCATCGACCCGCCCCCCAGGCCGAGCGACGTATGCAGCAGGCCGCTCTGAAAGTCTCCCAGGGACGCTTGCTGTTCCTTTCCTGGAATGCTGGAGGACTGTCCCAGGCCCTGTGGCAGGAATTCTTGTTAACACTTGAAAATATGCCACCTGCCGAACGACCCCAGATCGTGTGTGTTCAAGAAACTCATTGGACGGACAAGGTGGCGCCACAATTCCCCACTGCTACGTGGGATGTGTACACCTCCCCGACCACAGACAACAAATCTGCTGGGCTCCTGATTCTCCTCAACAAGCAGACTACCCGTAACTGCAGAATTGTTTACGCCGACCCACAACCGGGCAGGGTGCAACACCTGAGGATACTCCACGACCAATGGGCAGTTGACCTGCTGCACATCTACCAAAAGCCGCACAACTCTCATCCACTCGCCCTGCCATCCTCCAAAACCATTCGCTTAGCTGTCTGGGAGTGCATTGGTAAGATCCTGGCGGCTCTACCTGCCCGCAACACGGTGATCATGCTTGGAGATTTTAATACTCAGATCAAGCCGTGTGCTGCAGCTGGCACCAGGATCTGTTCAGGCACCAGCACGGGCACACATCCGCCTGATCAGGCACGGTTGCAGCATCTTGTTGAGGACTTCTCCCTCCTACACCTCAACTCATGGTGCAAGGCGGCTGGCCCCACGTACCATCACAACAAAGGTGCTAGCCTCATTGACCATATCATCATGCGTTCCAGCCAAGCGGATGATCGTGCCCGGCAGGCGAGACCTTTCCGCCTGGGACTGGCTGCATGGAGACTTGGTGGATATCACCTACCACTGAAGGCCAGCGTCCCGCTTCAGCGCTTCCACACTCTTAACAAACCGGTGGCACCACAACGAGCATGGGACCATTGGGGCCTGATTCAGGTTTGCCGCTCTACCTGGGATCCGCGGGTTCAAAGTCTGCGTTCTGCTGTTCAGGCATCCCTGCCTGGGGTCAATGACCTTGGGCAACTGCATGCCACTCTGATCCACTGTGCATCCCAATTTTTCCCGCCGCCCGCAGGTCAGCACCGGCTGGCACTATGGCAAACACCGCCTATGCAGGATGGTATTCGCTCCATGTGGCAGGCCTACCGAGCCTGGAAGACTGCCAAAGCTCAAGATCAGCACAATCCGCTTTATGTCTCCAGGTGCTATCATCACTTCAAGACGGCACACAAGGCCTTTCGTCGTGCCGGGAAAGAAGCCAAGAAGCACTGGTTCCATGGCAGGCTCCAGGAACTACAGGCTGCTGCCTGTTCGGGTGACTCCCGCAAGCTTTATGCTGGCATACGCACCCTAGCTCCCAAATCCTCCAAGCCGAAGGTCCAATTGCGAGATTCTGGTGGACATCTGCAAGACCCCAAGACCCAGCTTAAACAGCTGGAAACGAACTATCGCAAATTATATGCTGCAGATGAGGATACCAGCATCCAGGGCCCCCAGCGGACGCCCATTCACATCGAAGTCACGGAGGCAGAAATGACCCTGGCACTTTCGCAATTGTCACCCCACAAAGCTACACCTCCGCATCTAGCCACAAACTCTCTATGGAGGCTGACCTCGGACCTTGTCGCGCCTCTCCTGTGCCAATGGTGCCGGCAATGGCCTCAAATACCAGAGCTATGGCGAAATGCATGGTTGACTCTTGTTCCCAAGATTCCGCGACCACTATCACCCAAGAATCTCAGACCAATAGGGTTAACTGAATCCAGCGGCCGCGCATATGCTTCCATACTACAGGCGAAATTGCGCCCCTATGCAGAGAGGTTCCTTGCGGATCAGGCACAATTTGCATATTTGCCAGGTCGCAATGCTGCCCAAGCCATACATCGAGTTGCTGCACACTGCAAATATGTCCAGGATCGCTGCTCGATCTCAACACCCACGGTTGTCGATCGTCACGCTCAACAGCCGAAACCCTGCCCACATTTTGCAGGTGCACAACTATCGCTGGACCTGTCCAGCGCTTTTGACCTCATGGACTGGCGCCTGCTGGACAAGGCTTTACTTGCGTCCGAAGTTCCGGCTGAGTTAAGACACCAAATCATGTCCTGGCACTCTGAGATCTCCTATGTCCTTACCCACCTTGGGCACACTGCCAAGGTGGAGGCCCAAAGAGGACTTAGACAAGGGTGTAAACTGGCTCCGTTGCTCTGGACCCTTGCCCTGGCACAGATATATCGTGAGCTTCTTGCCGAGGAGGACCCGCTCCTCACAGCACCTTGGCTAGAGCAAAGCTCCACGATTTATGCAGATGATATACACCTCAAGGATACCGTGCAGACCACTCGTGAGCTGGACGACATGATGTATCGCTTTAGTAAGATCCTCGATGCTCTTGCCGCCCATGGTATGGTCATCAACTCGGTCAAATCAGCATTGCTGCTGAGACACAAGGGAAGCTTCATCAGAGGCTGGCTGCGCCGACACCTCATACACAAACCCGAGGGAGACCTACTCCGCTTCCGTAGCCCCCTGGGAACGGTGTATGAAATTCCGTTGCGTGACCATCACACGTACTTAGGCATACGCATCTCATATCATTCCCAGGCCAAACAAGCAGTCACCTATCGGCTACAGGCTGCGAACCAGGCATGGCAAAGACTTCGTGGTGTACTGTGCTCCACCAGGCATCTTGCTCAGACACATCGTCTCAGTCTATGGAAATCCACAGTGCTTCCCACGCTGCTCTATGGCATAGCGGCATCCAACCCAGGTGCCAAGGACATCCAGCGTATGCAGCACATGATGACCAAGCAGGTTCGAGCCATCACCCGATCCTTTGCACATCTTCAGAAAGAATCCACACAGAACCTCTTGCACAGATGCACCCTGTCCACCATCTTGGAGCATCTGCAGAGGGAAGCCGCTGCCTTGCATCGTAGCCTGATCAGCCTGAGCACCCAAACGAGCTTCGTGACCCAAGCCCAGGTGGAATCAGCTCGAGACACAGCCGCTACGCTCCACCTCCAAGTGCAACGACAATGGCAGGTACCTCTCGGGGACACAGAGGGCATCACTGACCCTGCAGTACACCAATGCCAGGAATGTCATCGGGTCTTTACCTCCTTTCTCACGAGGCTAAGTGGCATGGACTCAAAACACCTGCTGCTGTCCCGGTGCCTTTTGACAGGTATGCACATGGAACAGAAGGACTTCCAACGTGCAGACATTGTGCCCATCCCTTCCGACAATGGGACGGCCTTGTCAAGCACATCAAACGCAATCGGTGTCAGGTACTCCGTAGACTTGCTACACAACCTCCTGCTGATGCCCCACCCTTGGCTCCGAGCTCCAATGAATCTGATCCTTTACCAGTCCTTGCCCCGGTTATCCTGCCACCTCAGGACCCCTCTCAGGGGACCTACATCCTGCAAGACGATCAGGCTGCTATGCCTCCTCTTACTCCTGCCGTTATACCTGAACCCCCTGTCCTAGATGCTCCCCTGCAGGACAGCTCCACTACGCCGAGCCATGAGGCTGTTCCTCTTAATCAGCAATCTCATGTTCTCGAAACACTACGTGCACGCAGGTGGACTGACCTCCTCGAGAAACCGGAGATCTACTCGTATCTCCAGCACCACTGCCCGCTGTGTTATCAGTGGCTAGCTACTCCTACCAGCATCAAGTATCATCTCACCATGCAACATCCAGAGTGGAAAGACTGCCAACCTGCGACTCTCAAGCTTCTTACTGGTTTCCGCCGACATACTGTAGTTCCATGTCGCTACTGTCATCAGCGAAACATCAACAAAGATCGTCATTGGAAACAGTGTCATGTCTTGCATATCTGTGCATTTCTAGCAGTGCATCATGACGCTCTGCGCGGATCCCATGGAGCTGGACGAACAGGAGAGGCAATTTTGGGCCCAGGCTGGTCCGGTCAAACGGGAACAGGAACCGAGAAGAGATGTGCTGCATCAAACCGAGCAATCCAAGAGGCAGCGTCTGGCACCACAGGACCGGAACAAGGGCAAGGGCAAGGGTACCAAGGGCAAAGGCAAGGGAAAGCAGGGCCTACCAAGTCCACCCAGTGCAAACCCGGTCACGGGTTACACAAATGGTTTCGGAAGCCATCCACCCAATCCCTGGACACAGACTCAGGACCTGCAGCCACTGGGAGGTCAGGATCCAGACTGGATGGAGTACAGGATGAATCGACTCTCTCAGCTGGTCCTTCGTCAGGAGCAAATCATCTCAGCCATCCGTCAGGATCTGGTCCTCTACCTCTTTGTACGATCAGGGCCAGAAGGGATGGTACCAGTTCTCTGCGACGCAGCGGAGAAGTGGAGGAAGATGAAAGAGGAAGAACCCGAGAAGATTACTTACTCCCTCAAACTCATGCTATTCAAGCAGCTGCTCATCACCCTACACCAGAGGTTGACCAACATGATCGCGGACGAGGATGCTCTCGCCAAAGCCAAGAACCTGAACTGGATCGACGATCAGAAACATTGGAAACATCTCACATGGAATCCTACCAAACAATGTCTGGAAGTCGACAACTCGGTGAGGCCAATACCGGCGGAGGATCTGTTGGCTCAACTGGTTCAGATGAGGAAGGCAGTTACGGAAGAGACCCTGGTGAGGTTCAAGTCCATGCGGAAGCTCACCACGGAGGTGACCTCCGACTGGATCCAATTCCAGATCTGCATGTCACTTCGCCCAGAGGGAGGAGCCATGTGGAGTACGCTGAACCAGTGGATCGGACAAGCATCGTGGCACACCCTGGGATGCAGGCTCCGTCGCGATCGACCGAACTACGACACCCTGGTCCAGGAAGTGTGGCAACATCAGATGCCATACTGAGTGCGCGCCCTAGTCTCAAGGCCGTCCTTCGATTGATTTTCCACAATCCATCGAATCTGTGCTACCTACACTCTACCATCTATGCCCTTTTGTGGACAATCCTTCAGGCTAGGCTGCATGATGCCTACGTCTCGCCTCCACCGCAGGCTCTTACCATGTTGTGTCCACCAATCACTGCCACACCTAATTGCCCCATTCAGGTGCTCCATTCGGTACCGTGGCTTATGCTGCTGCAAGCTTGGCCTTCTGTACATCGTCAGCATGATGCAGCTGAGTTGTTACAATACCTCTTACCCAGGTTCTCGCATAGTGGGTTCAATGGTGGCTGGGAGGCCAGAAACTTCGTACCTGGAGGTATTGTCACTCTTGACACGGGGCCTACCCAAGCTCCCATTCCGATTGCGCTACCGGCAGGTCCAAGCTTGGAGCTCCAGGCAGCCATTGATGGGTGGAGTGCTCAGGTTACAGCCCGTTATGCACTGCTGACTCCGTCTCCCATGCTCTGCATACAACTTCAGCGCTTCACGAATGCCGAGGGAGTCATGCGCAGGGACACCAGACCACTGGTTGTGGCCTCGACTACAGTTCGTATGCCACTCTTTACAGGTCTGCACACCATGCAAGTTCGCTATGTTCACTACCAGGTCGTCGCTGTACAGCTTCACTACGGGGCCACTCCTGATATGGGGCATTACAGAACTATCCTACGAGGACAACCGCTGTTTGGAGCAGAAAAGTGGTGGATCACTGATGACTCCTGCACCGCAAAGCCAGTCAGCACAGAACACGATGACAACATATACATAGTGTGGCTACGTCAGGTACTACCTCCTGGTGCCTGACGCTGAGCAAGTGTAGTCTTAGTCGATGGAGCTGGCACTGCCCTCCAGAACCCAACAGAGGTTCCGATACCCCGAATACCGGGTTATCGTCAGCTCGCTAGGCGAACCCGGACACTTCGCTGCGTGGTGAATGAATGAATGCTGCTGCTTCTGCTGCTGCCTGTCGTTGTCGCTGCTGCTGCTGCTACAACAACAACTACTGCTGCTGCTGCTACTGCTGCTACCACTACTGCTACTGCTACTGCTGCTGCTACTACTGCTAGTGCTCCTGCTAATGCTAGTGCTACTGCCAGTACTACTACTACTACTACTACTACTACTACTACTACTACTACTACTACTACTACTACTACTACTGATCACAGTATTTCTACGCCGACGACGACTGCTATGACGACGGGGGCAACGACAACGACTACGACTCCTACTCTACTCCCACTCTTACTCCTGTTGCTGCTCCTGCTACTGCTGCTACTGCTGCTACTACTACTACGACGACGAGGAGGACTAGCAGCAGGACGACGAAGACTTACAATCCTGCTTGAGCCGAGTGAGTTCAAGCCAGTTCCCGCGCTAGGCAAATCCTATGTTTGCCTTCGCAAGAAGCAGTAGCTCTGCGGTCGGCTCTCACCGTTCGAATCTTCTTATTACACTGATAGAAGGAACCATCTTGGCCGACTGTCATGAACATTTTGCTGCTTACAGCTCAAGCCACTTTGGATATACGGTGCCCGCATCGCGCCAAACCCTGGGTTCTGAACTTCTTGGGTCTGGGATGGCTCTCAAAATTCATCGCAGGTTGACTTGCGCCTCGGTCGCTTCTCCAGTTTGACAAGTTCACCCTAAACCCCAAACCCTAACCCTAAACCCACCAGTGCAAGTTGTGACATCCAAGCAGAAGACAGTCCTTCAGCGCCACTTCTGCCACTTCCTGCAGCTTGCAAATCCAGCTCGTATCGGGTTTAGGGTTTAGGGTTTAGGGGTTAGGGTTTAGGGCATGGGACTGGCTTGTGGGTTTCATCTTCGCCAGAGATGATTAGTCGGATGGAAAAATGGACCGGGAATCTCGAGCGGAGCCGAGTGCATGATCATCCCCATGTTTCGTTGCCTGCCTCTGACACAGGTTCTGCTATTTCAGAAGAATGAGCTCTGCAGCAACTCTGGTTTCAGCAGAGCCTAGTCAGTTGCCGAGTTCAGAAGCGGCCCGAAAGTTAAACCCCCAGTTTTGGGGGATCAATATCTCCACGGAAAGTGCGAAGTATACTGATTCATTTCCTAAGCCTATGAACAAGATACCAGCCCGGTGATGAAAGTTCATGAAATCGAAGCATTACCATACCAGACTGCACTATATTTCAAAATACATTACCATGCTATATTGCACTATTCTGTACTATTCGCCATACGGTACTATTCGATACTATTTCATACGATTCGCTACTATACTGTACCATACCATACTATACTAATTACTGCTTGCTACTACTGCTACGACACGACATGTACCAGCCTTCGATATTGGACCCAACCTTATGATTTAGTTCGCTCGGCAAGGACCCCTCACGTTCGCGATGAAAAAAGCTTGTTCGCTGCGTGGCTCACATCATCAAAGCCATGTCTCCCTAAGCCGCCCCATCGGCTTAGGGTTTAGGATGTACCTGCAATCAGCAATCAGGAACCCTACACCCTGAACCCTAAACACAACTCTTCATGGGGATCTCTTCCCGAGGATCCCTTATGCGAAGGGACCCTTCAATCAGGAAAGTATACACAGATTCCTGCCTGCTGAGCTGCAGTGAAGGCCTTTCGCTCTTCATCCTGCGACCATCAAATATTGCGTCGTGTTGGGTTTAAAATAGTAGTCGTCGTAGAAGTAGTAGTGGGTGGTGGTGGTGGTGGTGGTGGTGGTGGTGGTGGTGGTGGTCGTGGTGGTGGTGGTCATAGTAGTAGTAGTACAAGTACTAGTACTAGTACCAGCACTAGAGCTAGAACTAGTTCAGTACTAGTGCAGTAGAAGCTCTGATGGTGTTAACCTATATCTGTCCCAGGCACTTTGAGGGGCCAAACCGTGGATGCTTCTGCTTGTATGGCTGTGGCTAGTCAAGAGGATGCTTTCCTATACGATTGCCTTCTACCAAGTTATGCTTTCAGCCGATATGCGACAAGATGTCAACAAATTGGTGACGGTTCACAAACCACCATCGCACAAAAACGCACGAGTCGCAAGAGGCACAGGCTTCTAAAAGTGATTCCAAGGTCCAAGCAACGTTCCGTGCAGCAGCTAGGCGGGCCATGCAGTCTGGTCCTTCGCATCCCAGTACCGCTTCCGCACATGACGAAAACGCCTCGAAGAGCGAAGTCTGAATTCAGAGAAGCAGTACTTGGAGGATCATGGGACTTAGTAAGTAGGTTATAATTGGGGTTATAAGTCCCCTAATTAGGGTTATCCTAATTATAACCTACTTATAACCTTACTTACTAAGTCCCATGAGCCTTCAAGTAGCAAGGCACATGCTGCGCCCACGGGGCAGGACTCGGGGAAAATCCCAGCCTCTTCTCCGCACTAACACATAGGCTAAGCGTCATTCATATTCGTGATTCGTGATAAGCATCCTTCCAGAAGGTTTCGGGTGTTGCGGAGGCCACTCCAGATTTTGGGATGTCTGAGTCTCACGGCCCCTTAGGCTCTGAAGCCCGCGGGGAGTCTTGCAATAGCTGAGCTGGCGACCTGTCATTGCCAACCTGCCGATGCAGCGCCGCAATATAGGGGCTTTAAAGAATTACCTA